CACGGCCGGACGGCCCCCCCGCAGCCCGGCTCGCCTGCGCAGTCTCAGCCGTGCCGTCGTCGCGGCGCGCAGACCTTTGAGGACGGGCGTGGGCCTTGCTTGCGCGGCGGCGGCGGCCTAACGCGCCGCGGGCGAGAGTTCTCGTCCACGCCCAGGGGCTGTGAGACCCGCCGCCCGGCCCGAGAGCAACGCAGAGCTGACGGGCGCCGCGCCGCGCCGCCCCGGTGTCTCGCGTGGGTCTGGGAAGGCCGGCCGCTGTCCTGGGCCTCCCCCGCTGCTCGGAGCCCGTGGGCGCGGCCCCTCCCGGGGCTCCAGCCGATACCTTGGAGCCTAACGCTTTCTCTGTTTTCAGAATTAAGTCCAGGTCGAAGTCTGAAAGGGCAGAAATGATCAAAAGCTGCGAACACTTTCAGGCCTCTGGCTGGTGATCAAATTAATTGGATTGTATTCCCCCGACAGAAATGGAGAGTGGACTTGTTCTTCCAAACTGATCGCGAGTTTATTACGTGGCAGTGGTTTCGCTTTCGAAAGTTTTGTGTTTCCTTGAACGTTGTCAAGGTTGAGTCTGTCCATAATTTTGTTAACTAGTCGAATCTTCCTGTTAGGGTGTTTCTTACTGACTTGTACGTATTATTCAAAAGTAGCACCCGCTATCCACATTTCTTTGAATCTTAAATTATTTATGTTTTCTTTGTTATAACTTTGTATTCTATCTTAATGTTAAGAGTAAGCCTGTCGTTTCCTTCCCACCTTTCATCAGAAAATGATCCACATGTTGGTTCCTTTCAGGTGATTTTGCTTAATTTAAATGGTACATTTGAATTTGGGTGAGATTTGCTGTTACGTTAAATTGTAAATTCACTTTGAGAAAAGCTACACTTAGTCTTACTATATTCGGTCTTTCTATCTAGGAACCTAGTAAGTGTTTCCTCTTGTTTGTTTTGTGTTAAATTTTATTAAAGTCATAGTTTTTTCCCATATAGGTGTACATTTCTCATTAACGCTATTGCTAGGTGGTGTAGCTTGTGATCTCTGTTTCAAATTTGTTTTTTCCTTGGTTGTTAATTATTCGTAAAGATTTTTTATATTCATTTGTTTATACTTGTTTTAAAACTTGTATTGGTTTGCTTTTATATTCCATCTTTATAATAATGTACTGTGTTTCAGTTTCATTTTTATTAAGTTATCTAGTTCTTTGAAAATAATTTTGCATAATAATTGCTTATGTCTTAAACTTGAATCATTCATAAATTATCCAGAATTTCACTATTAAGTAGTAGCTGTTAGATAGAATAATGTCATGTTATGCTATGGAGGAATCCTTTTAGTCTTGATTTGCAAAGCATTGAATTTTGTTTCATTTCTTGAGAGTAAATTAGAATGTTGAATTTTGTCAATTTCCTTTATGGTTTAGATTATCTTGAACTTTGGACTTATTTGAACAATTTACATGACATAGATTTCTTAATAATAAACTACTCTTACATTTCCTTGGGATTTACCCTATTAGGAATCTTTTCCCCTTATTAGACAGTCGTTTTTAAAAAATTATATATGTTTTTACGTTTATTTTTAAGAGACTGTATATCACTTATTAAATTTACTTGTCTGAGTTTATTCTGCCTGCCTTACACGTCCTGAAATTAATAAGAAATTTAAATATAGCAAGAAATTGGATGTAGTGGAAAGGAATACTTGTCCTTGGCCAATTTTTGCTCCTGCTGTGTGTACCTAAAACACTTCTCAGAGCTTTGATTCACAAAACTTTTAAGACAGGTTGGAGGTAGTTGCTTAAATGTTTAATAATGGAAGCTCCAAGCCGGGCTTGGTGGCTCAGCCTGTCATCCCGCGCTTTGGGAAGCTGAGGTGAGTGGATTGCCTGAGCCCGCGGGTTCGAGACCCGCCTGGGCAGCGAGACCTCATCTCTACAAGAAATCAAAAAATCAGCCGGGCGTCGTGGCGCATGCCTGTAATTCTGGCTACTCGGAAGGCTGAGGCAGAAGGATCGCCGGAGCCCAGCAGGTCGAGGCTGCGGTGGCCGGGAGCGGCCACTGCACTGCAGTCTGGGCGACAGAGTGAGAATCCAACTCAAAAGAAAAACAGAAGCTCCATAATCTACTCTTTCTATACTTCTGAAAAGCTGATCTAGGAGTAATATGTTTCTGAGAGTTCCTTTCTCTTCTAGTCTTGATTAGTACAGTGTGTATATTATATGATGCATCTCATCATTCGTAAGTTTCTAACGTATATTTTTACATTTTAAAATGGACTACCAAAGACTGTGGGGAACACTAGCAATACCTTGGGTCTTACTATATCGATTTAATGATTAAAAGGAGACTGTCCCTTTATCAATTTGATATATCTTTTTCAGTTTGGTATATCGTCATCTGAAACTGCATGAAAAGTAGCTGATTTGTCTGGTAAAAACCAGTACATTTTCTCAGAGCTGTAATGTTATTCTTTCTCTTAAATTAAGGTAAAAATGGCCTTTAAACGACTCCCTATATGAGCTAATCCACCTTAGGAAGTCATATTATTGCTTTGTTTATATTATTTGCCATTTTATTGCTAATTATAAAATATGAAAACAGCTTTTAAATAACTAAATAGGTATATGTGATTAAGTAATTATTTGGATACAAATTTTATGTTTCAGAGCTTATTCATTTTGATCTAATTAGGAGCAGTGCTTTTTGAAGTTGTGTATTTTTAGGCACTACAGGATTGACTGATTAGTGAAGGATTTGTGGGCAGATTACGAAATGAAATACACAGATCTCTAAAGTAAAAATAAGCCCAATAAGTCTACAAAAAATTAAAGGTAGTAAGGAATGCATATTTGTTTATTAAAGCTTCTTTTAAGAGAGTAACTGAGATAGGAAAGAAAACAAAAACTCAAATATATGTTCTTTCTTAATGAGCAACAGAAAATCACATGTTCTAACTAACTTTTTAATGAATTTTATCTTTTGTTAAAAAACCCTTCCTTATTGTATTTTGTTCACTTTCTTGGCTTAAGAAGTACCACGTGTCTTTAGCAATTCACCTCTTATAATCCCTTGGGGTCACCATCCTGCATATCATTGATGATTGCACCGTACCATGTCAGCAAGTGGGCTAACACAGATAATCCCCTGGATATAATGTAGAAAAATCTGTTTGGTATTTCTTATTTGCTGTTTTTTTTCTTCCTGTTATACAAGCAGGATTACAGAAAACTATTTCATTTTTCATTGTTTTGTGACACAGGGCCTTTTGAAATGTAAAATTAGATGAGTGTAAAACAGGATATGAAGGCCTAGGGATACCATTTGTTCAGAATCAGATTTATAAACGTGTATGTCCAGTCTTTCCCTCTCATATTGCAGATGTTACTACTTGAATTGAAAACTTCTCCCTTCCCGTGTGTTATCTTTTTTTAATTTTTTTTTGAGTCCGAGTCTCACTCCGTCACCCATCCTGGAGTGCAGGGGCAGGCACATGGCCACCTCAGCCTCAACCTGCCAGGCTCCAGCAATCCTTCCGCTTCAGCCTTCCAAGTAGCCAGGCTAGTTTTTTATTTTTATTTTTATTTTTATTTTTTTTATCGTAGAGACAAGGGCTTGCCAAGTTGCCCGCGCTGCTCTCGAATCCCTGGGGTTAGGCAATCCTCTCGCCTCGGTCTCCCAAAGTGCTGGGATGACAGTCTTGAGCCACCAAGCCTGACCTCTGTGTGTTATCTTATCTTGCCAGGTACTTGTCCTTTAACATCTGTCCAAATGAAGACATTTCAGGTTGTCTCCAAGTAGATGATTCCGTTTATGTTTGTATACTACTTCTGTGCCTCTCTTTTGGTAGAAATACATATCTTGCTTTGTGGAATAATTATTTGTGTCCTTTACCTCACCCTTACTCGTTAAAATCTGTAAAGATAGAGAAATGTGTGCCTGACTTTGTGTCCTTTGAGAGTTTGGCCCAGTGTCTTGCCTAGAAATTCAGCAAATATACTGTCTTGTAAGTTTATAATAAAAACAACTTTGTGGTATAGTGTTTCCTGATCTTAGTTTTTGGCAGTTTGTTGGGATATAACTCACATGCCATACAAGCCATCATTGTCTAATGTGTATGATGTAGTGGTATTTAGTATATTAACAGGTGCATGCAGTCGTCACCTGTCAAATTTAGAACATGTCCATTGCTTCAGAAAGAAACCACGTACTCTTAAGCTATCACCCTCCCACTCCAGTCATTCCTCTCCCATGCCTTTCCCCAGCCGTAAGCAACTGTTTCTCTACTTTCTACCTCTATGGGGTTTTCCTGTTCTAGGCTTTTGTATGAATGGAGTCATATAATATATGGATTTTTGTGATGACTTCTTTTGCTGGCATAATGTTTTTAAGGTTCATTGTTTTTGTAGAAATGTATCTGTATTTCATAATTTTTATTGCTGAATAATATTCCATGACATGGTTATACCACATTTTATTTTCTTGTCAGTTAATGGGCATTTGGAATATTCCTACCTTTAGCCTATTATAAGTAATGCTGCTGTAAGCATTCATGTATAAGTAGGCATATTTTAATTTCTTTTGTTTATTTACTTAGGAGTGGTGTTACTGGGCCATATTGTAATTTCATAGTTAATTGCTGAAGAACTTATTATTTGAAATTTTAATCCTCTTTACATGACAGGTGGAGGAATTCAGGATCAGAGAAGTGAATTGACTTATTAAGTCACTCAGGTAGTAAGGACTTGCATTAAAACCACTTGGATTCTGATATTAGTTTTCTATTTTACTTTACCAATACCCTTTCCGTGACAAAGGCAAATAAAATAAAGCCAGAAGAGTTGTGGAAAACAGTGTCTTTGAATCATAAAACTTTATCATTTAGAAATCATACATATTTTGGCTTAATCAAGTATCCATAAGTATTTTTTTAATCAGACTTTTTGGACTTAATATTCTATGGGATTCTTTGAAGATTGTTTTTTTTTAATCTAGATAAAAGTAAGAACAATTTGCTTCTGATAAGATAATTATGTGTATCTTAATGTTGCATCTTAATGTCCTTTGGCATAAGCTTAAGTATGGTTGAAGGCGAAATTTTCCAGGAAGGCTGTGGTACATTTTGATAGGTTTTGTGCAAGTGAGTTCCCTTTCTAACAAGCCTAAAAAGCTATTTAAGTATTTTAAAGTGTAATTAGTTCTATACTATACAAGGATTAGTGGTTTACCATAAAACAAAGTTTTTTTTCATTTCTTTAAAAACCCATTTCATAACTATTGATAATATTTTTTCCAATGAATGTAAAGAGAACTCAACTGATTGGTTTTGAAAATATGGTATATTTTTGAGACTAACAAAAGATAATTTTGTAATTCCTTGCAAATTACATGTGCATTTACCCTGTGACCCAGCAATATCACTTATAGAGCTCTATCCCAGGAATACACTGGAAAAACGTGAAATACACATGCACAAACATATTTTTATTGCACCTGTTCATAGTATCAAAGGCTAGAAACAATGCAAATACCTAGGGATAAGGGCTTGGCTGAATAAATTGTGGTTTACCTACAGTGAAGTACTATGCAGTTGTGAAAAGGATCTTTAGAGTGAGAGAGGAAGGAAGGTGGGACCCATAGAAGAGATACATCAGCCACTCAAAGCTGTGAAGTGTTGATGGGTCTAGTTCATTTACTCTTCTCTCTCCTTGTATGTATGTTTGTGAATTTTCATAGTTAAAACTGTTAGAGAAAAAAATACATCATATTTGTTTGGACACATACTATTTCCTTTGTCCTGTTAGAATTCTATATTGTCAGCTGATTTGCAGATCACTTTCTTTTATAAAAATAGAGAAATGATTTATTCAAGGATGAAAACTATGGCTCAGCACTCTTCCAAGAAAAGGGTGTTTTGGAATTCTGCTATTGCATGTAGAGTTCTGAAATATTTGCAAATATAATGACAGCAAATATACTTTCTGCCAAGAAAAGAGGGTCATATGTTTAAAAACATCTTTCCTTTAATGTAAGCTCTTTGAGAGAGCAGGGGCAAAATTTCTTTTGTTCACTTGAAAATGTGTACTAGTACCTGGTGTATATTAGGCACTCGATAAAGAACTAGTAACATCTGTATCTTTTTTATAGCATAACATTTTGGTAGCACTTTATACTTTCAAAGTGCTTTCAGTCATAGTCTCATTTTACCTCCTCACACTTTCCCGTGTGATATAACAGATAGGTATAGTCTTCATTTAATGGAAATAATGCAGCGTACAGAAAACAGTGCTTGAATGTATATAAATACTAGAAAATTGCAAGTGCACTGCAAACTATATACAATAATGAACTGATTACAGATTCCGGAGTGACATTCTTTTAGCTAATATAGATGATGGACAGAAGCTCTGTGACCCCTCATCTTTGTCTACTTTCCAGTCACCCCTGAAACTGACAATTGAATGGGAGCTGTTTTCTCTGGCTATGGGGATTATTTGTACTTATTTTCACCCTTTAATGGTTTTTCCTTCTTCATCCATACAGAGACTCTAATTTCCATTAACACAGCATAGCCATAAATTGATCGGCATTAATAGCTGTAGCCAGGAACGGGGGGGGGGGGGGAAAGGAAGGGGAAGAGAGAATATCCTGGCAGCAGTGTAATAGGAAATTAAAAATAATTCTGCTAGTCAGCTAGTCAGAGAACTATTGACTGCTTCAAGCTGCCTAGTCAAGTGCATGCAGGGGATAGTTCCTCTTCCATCCAGTAGAGCCATATTTCATGGATTTCTTTGGGGGGGAGGAGGGTGGGTAGAGGTTTGATGATGTACTCTGCATGGCAGTCTAACCTCCAGGATGAAACCTGGGAGAAGAATCATATTGATGCCAAGTGAACGGTAAAGTTCGGACCAGGGATAATCCAGTATAGTCTGCCTATTGACAAGTGTTGAGCATTGATAGATATATTCTAACTCAAAATTGATTTAAACCTGTAGGCTCTCTGGAGAGATTTGGAGCATAATACAAGGGCAGCATTATTGTTGTAAAGGAAAATCTTATACCTGAGAACAGAATTATAATGAAAAGAAAAAACTAGTTGGACATATAATTGACATTATCAATAATAAAATAGGAAATATTATCAGAAGCTGTGATGAAAAGATATGTCTATAAGTGACTGAAATTAAGAGATTAATAGTTTTTATCAGTGATAATGTCTGGAAAACAAAAATTCGGTACCATCTGACATAGGCTGAATTGTGCCCCTTCCCCAAATTCATGTGTGAAGTCCTAAGTCCAGTACTTCAGAATGTAACTATTTGAAGATAGGGCATTAAAGAAGTAATTAAGTGATTATGAGGTCATTAGGTTGGACCCTAATCCAGTATGACTAGTGGTTTTTATCTAAAGAGGAAATTTGGACACAGACATATGCTGAGGGAAACCTATCTACAAGCCAAGCAGAAAGGCCTCACAAGAAGCCAAAACTACTAGCAGCTTGATCTTAAACTCCTCCAGAATAATGAGAAAATGCTTGTTGGTTAAGCCACCCCGTTTGTGTTTCTTCGTTATATCAGTCCTCTCTCCTGGCTTCTGGTAGCCTTAGGTGTTTCTGAGTTTATAGTTGCGTTTGTCTAATCCTCCTTCCTCACATGGCGTTCTCCATGGGTGTCTTTTGTCTTCTTTCTGTGTGTCTGTCTGTGTCTTTTTTATAAAGACATCAGTCATATAGGATTAGGGCTCACCCCAATGGCCTCACTTTAATTTGATTCCCTTTATAAAGACCCTGTCAAAATAAGGTCACATTCTGAGGTACTGGGGATTTGACTTATCCTTTCTGGGGCCAGCAGGTAGCTCACTTTAACCCATAACACTGACGTACCAAAATGTTAGTAATATTTATAATTTCCGTGCCATTGCTATTATTCTTAAACTTTTTCTGTTTTCCACCATAGGCATTTATTGCTTTTATAATCTGAACAAATGTTATTCAAAAAATAAGTTAAAGAGGGAAAGAATCCTTTTTTATAAAAGTCTCATTTTTGAAATATTCCCTACATTAGTTTCTAGTTTTTATGTTACATAGTTCTGTTTGGTTTAAATTGTTTTCTGATTCAGCAAGAGTCCATTTGCATTAATGTAACATTTAGCAATCTGTCATCTGCATAATTATACATCTGTGATTGTAGGTAGGATAGAAAAACACTCCCATCTCTGAATTAAAATAGTCTCTTAGCATTTGTTATCTGTAGAGAGCAGATTGGGTTATGAGTAAGAGGAGAACAATGTGAATAGAGAAGACATTGAGCAGTGGGTCCGTAAGTGGTCGAAGTGCTCCCGGTTGCCCTGAGTCCTGAATCCCAAGTTGTCTCACACGTTAAACTTATGGGAAAAATGTTCTTCTTAGGCTTTAATGAAGAATGTCTTTCTGTTTTGATTAACTACTGTGTTCTTCATTCTTTGTGTGTTATTGGTTTCTGCTTTTTTAAAAGTCAAGTGTGGTTTTATAAGCTTTTTAATGACCTGACTAATTAACTATCTTTTTTTTTGTTTGTTTTTTTTTAGATTTGTCTGCCATGGTTAACTCAGTGTTTTTGGAATTACTTAGACTGGATAGAGATCTGCCATTATATTGCTTCTTGTGTTTTCCTTGGTCCTGATTATCAAGTGTATATCTGTATAGCTATATTCAAGCATCTACAACAGGACATTCTACAGCACACTCAGACTCAAGATCTACAAGTTTTCCTAAAAGTAAGTATGTTTTTTTTTGAGTTGGAGTCTCACTCTGTCACACAGGCTGGAATGCAGTGGCCGCTCCCAGCCACCACAGCCTCAACCCGCTGGGCTCCGGTGATCTTTCCGCCTCAGCCTTCTGAGTAGCCGGAATTACAGGCACGCGCTACCATACCTGGCTGATTTTTTGATTTATTGTAGAGATGAGGTCTCACCAAGTTGCCCAGGCAGGTCTCGAACCCGCGGGCTCAGGCAATCCACTCACCTCAGCCTCCCAAAGCGCGGAAAGCGCGGGATTACAGGCTGAGCCACTGAGCCTGGCTAGTATGTTTATATGTAGAAAAAAATGTTGAGTTCATAGCTAACTTTGATTACTTAATAGCAGATACTTTTCTAGATACTCATCCAATTCTAAAAACAACCCTGAGAGGCAGATACCATTATCGTCCCCATTTTAGAAGTAAGAAAACTGAGTCACAGAGTTAAATAAATTGTCGAAAACTATACAGCTAGAGTAGAACTGGGATATAAAATTACATTGTCTGTTTTTAAAACTTTGCTCTTAACCAGTATGCTATTCCAAAAATAATTTTTAAAAATATTCCTGCTTTATTTATGCAGTAAAAATTTAAATATTTTGAGTTGGGGTCTCACTCTGTTGACCAGGCTGGAGTGCAGTAACTGACTGTAGCCTCAAACACCTCTGCTCAAGTGATCCTCTCACCTCAACCTTTCTAGTAGCTGGGACTAGAGGCGCACAAGCACGCTCGGCTAATTTTTTGATTTTTTTTTTTTTTGTAGAGACAAGCTCTCACTTTGTTGCCCAGGCTGGTCTCGAACTCCTGGTCTCAAGCTATCCTCCTGCCTTGGCCTCCCATAGTGCTAGGATTATAGGCATGAGCCACCATGTCTGGCAGAACTTTAATTTGTTGGTACAGAAGTTTTGATACTTATAAAAAACATTTCATGTAATTTTCTATACCTTCAGTTTTCTAAATTTCCATTTTGTAGTGGACTTTCATAAAATATTATCATAGCACTCTTCAAAAGTCATTAGTATATATGTTAATATTTTAAGACATTTTAATATTTTAAGATTACTTTCTCAGTCACAATAGTGTACTTTTGAAGCTGTGGGCTTTAAGAAGTGCGTAAGGTATAACTGCATCCCAGTGTGCAATTCTCAGTGAAATGTAACTATTTGAGCGAAATTGAAAGTCTTTCTTTGAATTTTAAATATGTTTTCTTACCTCCTCTAACCTTGTCATCCTACAGACACACATACATGAATACACTAAAACCAACATTTATCATTTGTTGAGTTTTCACTAGGTCGACAGATAGTTTATTTGTAAATTAATTTTTCATCATTAAATACTTGCCCAGAGCTATTTTTATCTTATAATTTATTTTTTAAATTTTAATGCCATTGATCGTTTTAGATTGCCAAACTGTCAGCCACTTTTATTTCATGAGTACTGAATTCAAAATGTTTTAAACTTTCTGCATGCATAACTAGAATTATAATCTTAGAAACATTTCTTGTTAAAGAAGTATGCTAAGACAACAATTGCACATGTAGAAGGAAAACTAAGCAAACGGGAATTATGTTGAATGCAAAGTGTGGGTGCATTTTCAGTAAGGGACATTTTCATCAACTGGGGTGATCAGTTATAGGAACTTTAGTGTGAATTTTCCTATACTCTTGTATCTATCTGAATATCCCTCCAACCCTAACCCATAATCTATGACCTCTTATCTCATCTTAGTTTCTGTTTGTTTTTATCACTATCTGAAATTATTTTGTGTGTTTTATCCGTTTTTCCCCCAGTATAATGTGTAAGCTCCCCAGAGACTGTGACTTGATCTACCTAGTTTATGGATATATTTTCAACAATATGTTGAAAAATACCAGGCTTATATCAGTGCTCAATAATATTTGTTGACAGGATAAGTAAATAATGTACTGAACTTGGTTTTATTCATTTTGAATAACAAACATTAAGTTCTTAAATTCTTCCAATGCTTACCATTTACTTTCCTTCCCATCAGAAGGGTGTCTCTACATTTTCTTCATCTTTAAATCTGATCACTGTTGATGATTATTGCAGATACATCTCTATCTTGACTACTGCCTGCCGGGAAAAAGCATAATAAAGTTTGCAAATGGGAATCTCTTTAAATGTGTCCCAAGCCATTCTCCATTGTGCTCGGCATAATGCTCTCTATTAAGAGCTAAAGGATCTTAAAGGGGAGGGGAGAAGATTAGCTTTATTACCTAAGTCTCAGTTAACTTTCCAGAATTTGAGCTGAGTTGGTTTAAATCGAGACTAAGGGCATGTTGGCAAGGAATTAATGTTAGCCTGTGTCCTAGAGCTAGCTGTACTTTTTACTTCTGCTATTCTCACTCATCTGAAATATTGGGGGTGGAAAAACTGTGTTTTTGAGAGTTATCATGACTTTACTTTTTTTTTTTCAGTGGTTTTATATCTGACCCTCCTGTTCTCTTTTTTTGGTTTTGGTTTTTCTTGTAATTTAATTTTTTTTTAATTTTAGATTCAGGTGGTACACATGCAGGTTTTTTTACATGGGCATATTGCGTAGTGGGGAGACTTGGGCTTCTGTTGAGCCTGTCACCCAGGTGGTGAACATGGTACCCAGTAGGTAGTTTTTCAGACCTTTCCCCCATCCCACCTTTCAGAATCCCCAGCGTCTGTTGTTCTTCTCTTTATGACCATATGTACCCAGTGTTTAGCTCTTAGTTTCTGAGTTAATTTGCTTAGGATAATGGTCCCCATCGGCATCCATGTTGCTGCAGAAAGATGTTATTTCATTCATTTTTATGGCTGCATGGTGTATGTGTACCGTATTTTCCTTATCCAGTCCATCACCAATGAGCACCTAGGCTGGTTCTATTGTGGCAGGAAGGCGGCTGGTGGCAGTTAAAGATATTTCCTTTTGAAAGTCAAGCAGCAAGCTCTAAAGACCCGCCAGGCCGGTTTTGTTTTAAAAAAAATGCCAAATGGCCAGAGACTGATGGCTCTTATTGAACAACAGAAAGAGTAAGTAATTCACAACTGCTCTCCTTATCAGTTTACAGCTCCTGCTTGCCCTGCATTTCCTGGAGACCATTTGTTCTTTGAAAGATCTGATTTTTCTGAACACAACCTTGTAAATTCCAAAGAAAATGTGTAATCTCTCAACACATGACCCCCTCCCTTACCTAAACAAAGGTATAAGACCCCTCTTCTCCCGTTCTGGGGGCACTCAACCTGGAGGCGTTAGCCCATCGAGCCCGCCGGCGTAATAAAGTTGCCACTTCCCATAATAGTCTTGGTGTCACGACCTCTCAATCTTCCTGCTACACCATGACTTTGCTACCGTGAATAGTGCTGTAATGAACACAGGAGTGCAAGTATCTTTTTGGTAGAATGATTTATGTTCCTTTAAGTATATATTCAGTAATGAAATTGTTGAATCAGTCATAGTTTTATTTTTAGCCCTTTGAGAAATCTCCAGACTGCTGTCCACAGGGGCTAAACCGTTTCCAATTCTACCCACAGTGCGTAAACAATCCCTTCTCCACAACCTCACCAACTTTTTTTTTCACCTTTTTAATAAAAATCATTTTGACTGGTGTGAGATGGTATTTCATTGTGGTTTGTATTTGCATTTTTCTCATGGATAATGATATTGAGCACTTTTACATATGCTTGTTGGCCACTTTTATGTCTTCTTTTGAGAAGTGTAGGTTTGTGTCTTTTGCTCACTTTTTAATGGGGTTATTTGTTTTTTTTTCTTGCCAGTTTGTTTAAGTTCCTTCTAGATTTTGAATATTAGTCATTTGTTGGATGCGCAGTTTGCAGATACTTTTTTCCCATTCTAAGGTTATTTGCTCTGTTGATAGTTTCTTTTTGCTGTGCAGAAGTTTTTTAGTTTAATTAGATCCCAATTATCAGGTTTTGCTGTGTTTACTTTAGAGGACTTATTCATAAGTTTTTTTGCCTACACTGTGTTCAGAAGTGAGTTTCCTAGGTTTTCTTCTAGGATTTTTATACTCTGAAGTCTTCCATTTAAGAATTTAATGCATTTTGAGTTAATTCTTGTATATGGTGAGAGATAGAAGTCCAGATTCATTCTTCTGCATGTGGTCAGCCAGTTTTCCCAGCACCATTTATTGAATCAGGTGTCCTTTCCTCGTTGTTTATTTTTGTTGGCTTTGTTAAGATCAGTTGGTTGTAGGTGACCAGCTTTATTTCTGGGTTTCCTGTTCTGTTCCATTGGTCTGTATTTCTATTTTTGTACTAGATCATGCTGTTTTGGTTACTGTAGCCTTGGAGTAAAATTTGAAGTCTAGTAGTGCGATGCCCCCAGCGTTGTTCTTTTTGCTTAGGATTGCTTTGTCTATTGGGCTCTTATAGTTCTAAATGAATTTTAGAATTGTTTTCTTCTGATGCTGTGAAAGATGACACTGGTAATTTGACAGGGGATTGCACTGAATCTGTAGATTGCTTTGGGCAGCACAGACATCTTAACAATATTAATTCTTCCAATCCATGAGCCTGGAATGTTTTTCCATTTGTGTCATCTTTGATTTCTTTCAGCAGTGTTTTATAGTTCTCTTTTTTTTGTAGAGCTCTTTCACCTCCTTGGTGAGATGTATTCCCAGGTATCTGTTGTATGTATGTGGCCATTGTAAATGATACTGCATTCTTGATTTGGTTCTCAGCTTGAACGTTGTTGGTATATAGAAATGCTACTGATTTTTCAGTGTTGACTCAAATTTCATTGTTCTCCTTTAATGGGAACTCATTTTTCTTATGAGATAAATTCTGGTATGGTTTATTTAAATATGCATTTAGATGTACCTTTAACTACTGCATTAGGGTCTTTGCATAGTCTTGTGTATGAATATATGTGCACCATTTTGTACTTATTCATGTAATAACCAATTATGAAATACTGATTACTGAAGTAATCTTATTCTCCCTACCCTAGAAACATCCTCTACATCAAAA